GGCCCTGGCTAGAGACTCACATGTGCTATCTGTCCTGTCACATCTTCCTGGCTCAGGCCTCACACTCACTCCTCTCTCCGGTAAGAAGCACCTTCCCCACCCTTCACAGATCTGGCCCTTGCTTATCACGCAGACCTCGGCTCACCATGTGGGAATCAAGGCAAGTCAAATTCCAGAGATGGTGTATCAGTGGGGCTCAGATTCACTGGCCGCTGCTGAGTAGAAAAGGGAGGAAAATGTTTACAATTATGAGCTGTTTGGGAATCCAGGCTACTGAGTCCAGCACTTCTGTGGCTTGAGATGTGGCCCACAATGTAGAAGAGTAGAAAAGGAGGGCAGGGAAGTAAAGTTGGCCACAGCTTGCAAAATCCAAAACCCAAAAGACAAAATTGCCTTCCGTCAATGGGGCAGCGTCCAAGCACGAACAGGGTGACTCCCCTGTGAAGGTCACAGCTAGTTCAGCAAACCTGACCTCGGTGCACACACTGTCCAGCTACCGCTGTGGAGCAGGCCTCCAGCGTCATTCACCTGCCTTCCATAGGGGAGTTTCTGTCTTTATTAACTGCCATTTATCTTAACCTAAAAAGCCATTCATGTTTATTAATGATCTCTATAGCACATTGCAAGTGTGACATTTCCAAACTTGAGGTTGTTTGAATTACAAGATTACCAAAGACACAAAAATTCCTCCGCATTTGACACCCTTTCAAGTCTACCAGTCCCCTCCCCAGCTTCCGAGCAAGAGGGTTTTCAAACTCCGAGGGTTCTTCATAGGAAGAGAAGCAAGCATGAAATATTCCAGATACCAGTTGTTTTGCATACGATGAATGTGGCAAGGCCTTCAGCACTAGCTCTCATGGAGGGAAAGCCACGTACAGAATGTGGCAGGATTGTGCAGAGGTTAAAAGACTGCTCAGGGGCCAGAGCAGATCAGACTGGAAGACAGAGTCAGTACCCCATGATGGGGAGAACATTGGCCACAACATGAGACGGTCCTTTGCTCAAACCCCAGCCTCAGTTTCCCCTCTGCTAAGGAATCATTGTCACAGTTCCAGGAGACAGAGTCCTCGAAAGACATTGAGTCTGTGTCTAAACAAGGTGACATGTACAATTAATAAAAACAATGATAGGGTCATCGAACCCCCCAGCCTGATGACAAGGCCTCAGTTTCTCTCATCCTCTGTTCCAATTCTTTCCTGGGTCCCCAAAAGACATATAGTGTGTGCCCACAATTATCAGTTTATTGTTAATTGTTAATCTGGTTAAGTTCAGGTTACCTCACAATTTAAGATTTCTGCCATAGTTATGCCCCAGAATCTCAAAGACTTTGTAACCCCAAATTTGCCTCCAGCTCACACAAAGTCCATGGAGAGAGAGGTGGCTTTGGCACAGGTGTCCCCCATGCCACTTGTTCCCAGTCTGTGTGGCTGCTCCTGTGGAATTCCATCAAACCCCTCCCAAAACCAGCGCCCTCGGCTCCCCACTTCCATGCCTTCTCTCCTCTATGCAATCTCAGAAAACAAACTTTTAAATGCTATCTCTGTTTCTACAATGATAAGGCTCAGTTTTCAAAACACCCTAAATCAATGTTGTCTCTAGCAGCCCCTTGCCAGGCTCCAGTGCAAGACCCTGGCAACCTGACGTGGCCACACCCCACACACATATCACTGAGCAGTGTCACGTGGGGAGTGGAAAATGGGTCTGTGTTGCTGTACCCCTCTGCCTAACCTGTCAGGGTGCAGGGGCAAATGGTCTAAGACCTGAGACTGGTAAATAGACGGCTCTCGGGACAGAGGAAACATGTCCACAAAGGAATCCTCAGTTTCTTCCTCTGATAGAATCACCAAATGGTTACAGCTCAGAAGAGATGATTTTTCTGGTTTCTGCCCAGAACAATTTCAGACATTTAAGGTATTCATTTCAGTTAGAACAGTCAGTTACTTAAAATCTTGGCACATGAAAAAGAAGAAAAAGGGAAAAGACAGAAAGGAAAATAGAAGAGAGGAAGGGAGAGGAGAAAAACATGGAGAGGCGAAAAGACAAAACTTTTTTTTTTTTTTTTACTTAGGAAAGTTAAAATGCATTAGAACTTGCCAGGAACTTAAAGATCATCTAGTTCTGTGACCTTCGTCAGAGAAGGGAATCTGAGGCTCAGAGAGGGAAGATGTTTGTTTAAAGCCACAGAGCCAGCGAATAGATGGACTGAAATGTGCAGCAGATTCACAAGCCTGTGTTGTCTAAACAGCTTTGATGAGAGGAAGGTCTTGCTGGGCTTTATGGCTCCCATTGTTAAACCTGAGAGAAAATCCAGCTGCCCACCTATATAAATTGACTGCATTTCTGTGAAAAGAGAATAGTGTTGGTTTAAACATCTGGCCGTCTTCCAGAGAAGTGGGGCTCTGGGAAGGGTTTGGGAGGGGAGGATGGCAATGAATGGGAGAGGGGTGGGAGAGGATCTTGGCTCTCCACTGAGGAATGCGTAGGAATCCCTTACAAGGAACTATTGAGAAATCCTTCCAGGATGGTCAGAAACAGCAAGTGCCCACTTTTTGGCCAAGGATAACATACAGAGGTGAGCAAAAAGCCAATGAAATGCCCTACTTTGTTCCTCTCTTCTTCCCCCCAACCTTTTTCTCTTTCTTTCATAAGCCCTAAGGTGGTTTATTTTTTCAGGGTAAACCCCGTGGTGATTAGAAATCCAAGTACCTATTTTACATGAGTATGAGGTGGAGCCTGCAGTGCAGAGACTTTGAGTGTAAATGAAATGCCCTACTTTGTTCCTCTCTTATTCCCCCCAATCCTCTCTCATGTCTTCTGGTCACTAACTGGTCAGGGTATGCTGCTCTAAACAAATGCAGTAGATATAGCAGGGAGCAGCTGGACTGGGATTCAGACTCTGTCCTCTCTGGCTGTGTGTCCCTAAGGAAGGTATTTGATGTCTCTGAGTCTCACTTTCCACAGGTGGCCACAGGGAATCCTGAGGATGGAATTTGAGACGCATTCCATCACCATTTCTCTGTCAGTAAGAGATCTTCAAGGCTTTCCTCCTTTTTCTCGCTGGTGTCAATTTCCAGCACCAAATAAAAAAGATGATCTATCCAGTCACTCGATAAATTTTGGTATGATGGGCCAGGAACTGTTCTAGGATCTGGGGATTCAGGAATGAACTGAAGACAGAACTCTCATGGAAATAGGATTCTAGCAGGGAAGAGCAAAATGTCAACACCAGAAAAAAAAAAAAAAAAGAAAAAAAGAAAAAAAAAAGCTTAATGACAGAAGAACTCTGTTCTTTGATTTAATGCTTCAATACCAGTCCCATGAACAGTGGCTGGCAAGTAGTAGTTGCTCAGTTAATACCCATAGAATAATTGAACAATTTACATTTGGCACAATGAAATTGGAATAAGGGAGAACATTTAAAGAAAAACATTTAATCTACAAATAAATATAGATCATCGATGATAATCAGTTGTTTGAAGAAAAGTATAGGAGAGTAAAATAAATAGAAAATTATATGAAGTTATGGGGTAGAGGGAGCCCCCTGCTAGGGTGGTGGTTTTTGAGTTGATCTCTAAGTTAAAGTGAGGTAGCAATCATAGTGAATAATTACCAACCACGTCATTAAGCAAGTCCAGTTCTTAGAGTTTTCCATGTGTTCAATTATTCAGCTCTCAAATTGCCCAGTGAAGAGGTATCATTATCACCATCTTTTTTTTTTTTAAGTTTCTATTGATTTCAGAGATAGGAGAGAGAGATCGAAATATCAATGATGAGAGAGATTCATCAATTGTCTGCCTTCTACATGCCTTGATCTGTTGGGAATCAAGCCTGCCAAGTAGGCATGTGCCCTGACCAGGAATTGAACTATGACATCCTGATTCATGGGTCAACACTCAACCACTGAGCCATACTGTGGGCTTCTTCAGTACAGGGACTGTCTGAGCCACTTGTCCCTACTTTATATGCATCAGATGCCTTGTGCGATATATTGAAAGAATGTCCAAGAGTATATATTCTAGGATTTTGGAATATGGCCCAGAAGACACAAACTATGCAAAGGGAAGACAGGATAGAATGATTTGGGTAGGAAAGAAACCGAGAGAAGACAAGCCCAACCATACTGGCCCCATCTCTCAGAAACTTTGTATTTACTGACCAGTATTAATCACTCTTCTTTCCCTCTCTGGCCCCTGATAACCTCTAACTTACTCTTTTACTCTGTGATTTTCCCATTCTAAATATGTCATATATTGATAATTGGAATCATATAATAGCCACCCTTTTATGTCTTTTTTCCCCCAGTTAGTGTAAGGTTTTAAAGAGCATCCATATGGTGGCATGCATCAGAACAACATTCCTTTTCATGGTGAAGAACACCACATTGCCTGGATGGATGGTATTTGTTTCCTCAGCCATCTATTGGAGGAAACTGGCCATGATTCTACCTTTTGAAGATTGTCGATGAGAATAAGTTGAATTTTAATAAATAGATGGGCATGGCTAAAATATCTCATGAATTTGAAAACTTATTTAAATTTCTTTTTCCAAAGTTGCCATAACCCCCATGGTGGGGAAAGGAATCTATGTAAGACATACATTGGAGGAGGGGAGAAACTGGATTTTAAAGGCATAATTTTGTAAAACAATGAGAGAAATGACAGCTGATTGAAAAATAGTCCTTTTATGTCCTTATAAAACAGGAGCTTTCTTTACCAAAAAGGGTACATTTCCAAATGATTAGTAAAATTTTTTCCTGTTCAAATTACCTCTGTTCTGTATCTGTCATGTGCATAGAAGAAAGGAAAAAAGAAACCGTTCAACTTTCCTTCTCCTCCTCCTCCTCCTCCTCCTCCTCCTTCTCCTTCTCCTCCTCCTCCTCCTCCTCCTCCTCCTCCTCCTCCTCCTCCTCCTCCTTCTCTTCTTCTCTTCTTCTTCTCTTCTTCTTCTTCTTCTTCTTCTTCTTCTTCTTCTTCTTCTTCTTCTTCTTCTTCTTCTTCTTCTTCTTCTTCATTTGAATATTTCAGAAAAACATAAAGATCTTTATCACCAGACAATTATCTGAAAAATTGTGTTTGTTGGTGGCTTGGATTTATATGAAAGTTTGTTTAGAGGTACACACAAAAAACAAAAAACAAATCTAATTGATTTTGAATGTGTTGACCTTGACATTTACAATAGACAGTGATAGCTGAAGAACTGTTATAATACCTATAGTGAATTCCTATTCACAGACCCTCCAGATGTGTCCACAGAAAGTGCATTAAAAGACAATGAGTGCACATGTACTAGTATTGCAGGACTTTGTGCCTGGCTGTGCTCAGAGCCTTTATGATGCACAATAACTCCTTAAATATTGTCTTATTTCCATTTAATATATGAGCCAACTGACTCTCTGAAATGGTTAATCAAGTGTGTCCAGTGTTACCCACGTTTTAACTGATAATGTCAAGATTCAAAGCCCAGCTTTCTCACTGGGAAGCAGATAAACAGATAAATAGAGAAAAAATGCAAATCACAGCTGAATTGGATACTTGAAGTGTAAATTAGAATAGGTACAGTCTTTAATTGTGTGGAAAATGTAAATTGCTACTAAAGATAGAACTTCCAAATTATGGGAAATGGAAATAGAATTTGCCATGCTTCCTTTTTTGAGCGCTGTATTTAGCTTTTATCATGCAGTGTGAAAAGTCTCAGCGACACTCTTTCATGTTTGACAAATTATCTAAGAGGTTTGTAGGTCTGCCAGGGTTTGTGCCTGCACAAGACAAAGTCTGCCAAGCTGACCTCAGTTTACACTTTGTTCCAAGTGCACCTTTTTCTCAGACGGTTTGGTTGGGCTAAAACAAAATACAGGGAAAGCATCACATTGTCTGTGGCTGTATTCTACAATTGGGACAAGAGGTGTTGGCAAAATTACTTACTGACACATGTTATCAAATTATTGGACTGAATATAGTCAAATGCCTTAGGTCAAAATAGTTGAAATTACATAGCAGGCCCAAGGACTTATAATAATGACAGCTTGTATTAGTATAATGGACTCATGAGAGCGTACACCAGTATTAATGTCCTTTTTAAGTATGATCAAAGGTCCATTCAGCAGGTGTTCTGTCCATTTTATTTGTAAAGGAACAATCACCTCGTCTCTAAAGAGGGCCCAACAGTGAACCAGTCTTCCACATTGTGGTGGTTCAGCTCCTCATGTGGTCCTTTCCTGCACTGAATCTGGGCTGGCAGATTCAATTGTTTCACTGAAACAATAAAATGTGGCAATAGTCTCACTTTGCATCACTTGCAACTTCTGCTTTGGTCTTTAGGGGCATTCACCCTGGAGAAAGCCAGCTGCCATATCCTAAGTCCCACTAATGACACCAAGTCTGCCATGCTGGGAGGAAGCCCAAGTGGCCACATGGAGAGAAAAAGAGAGAATGATGCCAAACAGCCCCCAGGTGTTTCAGTCACCCTACCTGAGGCATCAGACATGTAATCAGAGGAGCCATCTTGGATCCCCAACCTTCAGACAACTTCAGTACTAGCCATCATTTGGCTACAACCAGGTGAGCAGCCAAACAAGAGCTTCCCAGCTGTGCTAAGCTCCGCATAGAAAACTATGAAAGTTACTAGATTGTTACATTAAATCACCAAATTTTGGGATGGTTTCTTACACAGCCACACCTAACTGGAAACCAAATCTACATAGCCTTTGTCATTTTTCCTACTGCAGCAAAATCACTGATAAATAAGGAATATTACTTCAATCAACACTATCAACTGGTGTCTTCTGCAGGTAAAGAACTGTGAAGCACTGGTTTCTACCTGGAGAGCAAACTGTCTGGTGGGGAGGTAGACAGTAATTAGACAACAAAAAATGCAATGTAGAAAGTATTAGGAAGTAAATTCAGAGTTCTCATCTCTGAAATTCAGGGAGAATAAGACACTTTTGCAAGTTGACTATCTTAGATCAGATGCTCTAGAAGCAAAACCTGAGATGCAGAATTCTATATTCTTTGGCAAGTCATTTGCTGGGAAGGAGATTACAGAAGATATGGGCAAGGGAATAGGGAGACAGGATAAAGGAGAGTTCAGGCCTCAGCCTGATCCATAAGGAAATCTGGAACATGGGTTGATGTATAATAGAGATTGTCTTGCCCAGAGACTAGGATGCTGGGCTGCTATCCCACAGCCCAACCTTTCTTCTCACATCAATCATTAGTCACAGGAAACCCCAAGGAAAATGGAGAACATGGTGGACCTAACTTCTAAGGTACCTCCTGGTAAGGCAACTTCTGCTGACTAAAGGAAATTCCCCAGAAAACAGTACAGGGTGAGCTGTTAGCTGCAAACTCTCCTGGTTGTGGGGTGGGAATACTTCCCTGGTAAATGGGATCTGGATGGGTCATTCCTAGTGATGGCTGCAGTTCCATAGTGGAAGTGGATGGAGAAACAAAGGTAATAGGTACCTGCTCTCTGGTTTAAAACCAGTTTGGGTTTGTCTGCCAAAGACCGAAACACTCTTAGGCACTAAGCCACATACCCAATGAACCTATAGTCTACCTTCTGGAATGTATTTAATGTCCCCCCAAACACAGTTAAGTGAATACCAGCCCATTAAGATGACAAGAAAATTGTGAAATTCTGAGAATGTGAACCTTAAGCCTACATGGTCTGTAATAAATCAGTAGAGTCAAGATTCACCCCCAGGTCTCTTGGCTTAACTACTTTTTCTCTCAAGTTACCTAACTGGGAAATTGGGGGGAAATGGATCTTGATATGAGAATGAGGAACCAAGACCGTTTCTTACATCAAAAACTTCAGTAAAGCAAATCAACCAGAGTATCTGTAGCTTGGTCCTGTTGTTGACTATTTGAAGGGATGTGTTGCTTTGCTCCCTAGCTCAAGCCCATGAACTTCTTCCAGTAAGGAACATGTTTTGTCAGGCACCAGTTATAGCCTGTCCCAGCCATTCTTTTGCTTGAAGATGTTGTGATCTGGTATAAACCTTTCTGTGTATCCCCACATCCTGGATGTCCATCATTTCCCTTAAAGGCTTTTACCTCATAGGCAGATAGAGGCTCATGCAAAACTTCTTATTCCCCTTATCTACAACTGTGTAGACTTTATTGCAGCAGGAAAAGGATGCTGGAGACTAAATTCTAGTTCTAACTATCAGTGGCTCCACCATCATGGGCAAAACCTTTAATCTCATAGTTTGAGTTTCTGCCTCTAAAATTAGTACCATGCCATTTCCTATTTAGAGCTGTCATGAGGATTAGGAGCAATATATTTAAAATACCAAGCACATAGCTGGTGTGCAATAAATGATAGTTATTTTTATGTGACAGACACACCTGCACAGGAGACAGAACGCTCGGGTGCTTGCTAAGTAAGCTACCATCATTTGGAAAGCAGATGTCAAGGCCACAAATGTCTGATGGATAGTGAGTTCTCAGTGCGTTTAACCTATTTGCATGTCAGGTAGACAGGTCTCTTGCTTGCATGTCCCCCAGCTCCTTCCACTTTCTCATCACCACTGTCCTGATTCCTCTAGCTGTCCTTGTATAGAATGTCCTGCTCTGGTTCCATCCACCACCATCCACTCTCTGACTCACTAGCATATCTTTCAAGAAGCTTCTGCATAGAAATAGCAGGGTCCCTGTGGGTCATCAGTTCTAATTGTTCTGGGTCATAGCTCTGCCAGGCAACCTTTGGGAAGATTGTTCATCTGTCACTACTCCTAAATAATGGCATTAAAAGTGACATAGCTGCCATTTCTCACCTGCTGCTTATGATCCTGAAGGCTGCCATTTCCCATCTCTGGGATAACTATTCCTCTATCACGAGTAGCAGCCCTGTCTTTCTTTGAAAGCAGCAAGGGAGGTCCATTTATTTTACCTCACTTTCTCCTCTCTGTAATGGGACTAATTACTCCTAAATTAAATGAGAAAGTATTGGCCAGTTCACAATGTCATTTCCCCTACCTTCATGATTCACATGCATGCACGCACGCACGAGTGTGTGTGTGTGTGTGTGTGTGTGTGTGTGTGTGTTTAATTTAAACCCAAGAGAGTTAATAAGTATTAATTCTTGTTGCTGAATTTTCCTTTATTTTTTTAAGGGCTTAATAACACATTAAGTGCAGGGTGGAGGCTCCAAAGAAAAATACAATTTTAATGAAAGTTTGAACTCTTGGTTGTGATTCCTGATTCCTCTGTAAGCAGTAGGCACCCTGGGCATTGGCCTCCTCTTCTTACTCCTCCCTTTAGTCTCCTGGGACAGACGGAGCAAGCACCCTGCACTCAGAGGCGCAGCATCATTTTTGCTGAATGAGGAAATGTTCAGGCTGTGAGCTGATAACAACTTAACAGGATTTCAGCTCTATCTGAATCCTGGAGAGAGAGTGGGCAGGCTCTGTCTTGACTCAGAAGCTTCAAGTGCTGTGAATAGTCTATGTATAATAGCTGAGGCTCCATTCAGCTGCTCTCAGCCACCTCTCCCAAAGGACCCCACCTGGAGGCCTTGGGTTGCCCTGGGCCTGACCGGTTCGGACAGGAACCTCACTCTGTCCAGTTGGCATCTCTCTCTTTGTTAATAAAATTGGTATTAGGTGTGTTTGGGAAGGGACCAGGTTTCTGAGTCATGACATTTGGCAGGCACAGGTCAAGTGCAGGGCATCCTCTGAATTGGACAGTGTTCAGATGAGATCTAAGCGCCTGGGTTAGGTCTGCAGCCACGGCTCTGAATCCTTGTACCTTCCAGACAGACATAGCCAGTAGGACTCCAACCCCTTTCCCGTGGTCCACCTCCATGAAAATATCCTTAGTTAAGACCAATTATTGAATTTATACCCACTGACCATTTTATACTAGACCACTCCCACCATCAGCTGTGCCCACCCCATGTTCCTGGTGCTTGGTCCTTCCTTCCTCCATTCCTACCCAACACTCCAAGCCTCAAGCATACCATCCCTATGAGCACACAGGCATTCATAGGTATTTTGCAAAAGCCATCCTCTTGGGAGTCGGAAAACTCACACTAGGGTCTCCATGGTCGCCAAATTTCCGGGCAGCCTTGGAAACTCGATTTAACCTTTCGGGGCCTCTTGTTTCTTCAGCTCTTAAAGGAGGTGGAGGAAAGCAATATCCAGTGATGTACTTCATAGGGAAGTGCTGTGCAGACTGCGGTGCAAAGGGGAGTCCTGCCACAAGGATTTGTGACGCACCCTTTGGGAGCTGAGGTCACTGACAACCTCAGTGGGTTCTGAAGAAGAGGGAGGACCTTCTCTCAGATAGCCAGGCAGGGCCTGGGGTGGGGCGGGGGCCATGCGAAGGTGAGGCCCCGCTGCAGAGGCTGATACAGAACCACGGTGACTCACTTTGCTAATAGCACTCCTGAGAACACAGGCTCATTCTTGCCCCTCCCCTGTGACTCACTCACACCTCCCAGGATGGAAGACCTTTGGCACCAGGGAAGGATTCTGCAGGTTAAATAGGGAAGAACTTGCCTCAATCTGGGCCCTTTAGTCTGAGTTCAGAAAGAACTGTGTAGCCGAAACCGATTGGCTCAGTGGATAGAGCGTCGGCCTGCGGACGGAAAGGTCCCATGTTCTATTCCAGTCAAGGGCATGTACCTTGGTTGTGGGCACATCCCCAGAAGGAGGTGTTCAAGAGGCAGCTGATCAATGATTCTCTCTCATCGATGTTTCTGACTCTCTATCCCTCCCTCTTCCTCTCTGAAAAAAATCAATAAAATATATTTTTTTAAAAAAAGAACTGTGTAGTAAGAAATGAATTGTGTGCTTTAGCCATGCAAGGACTCCAAGCTTAGCTGACTTACAGTCAGAGTGAACTTGGGCACAGTCTTTATCTTCTCTGTGCCTGTTTCCTCTTTTTTGAATCTGCCATAATGATTCCCTCCCTTCCTGAGGTGGTGTGGGGTAACATTTCAATGAGGTCCTGTTTGCAGAAAATGATCCATCCTGTTCATTTCAACTCTTTTGCCTGAGTTTAACTATGTCAGGAAATGGCTTTATTTTGCCTAATTGTAGTTTTTGTTTTACCATAATGAATACATTTTGCTTCCATGAGAAATAACGCACACAATATATTTAATCCTGTAAAAAGCCCACTGAAGGAAGACAGCAAAGGAAACTGAGGCTCCTCCAATGGACCAGCTGTTTGGGCAGAAGTCAAACTGAAATAGGGTTCTCACATCTGGGCACAGGTGGGCAGGGCTCCTTCTGCACTACCCTCCAGTTTGTGCTTTTCTTTTATATATATATATATATATATTATATAAAAATAATATATATATATTTTTAATTTTAGCCCTTGAAGTTTACATTTTTCCCATATTCAGGTCTCCAAGTTAAGAGGTGGTTACTAAACATATACATATCTCTGTCTCAAAACATTTAGCATATGTCTCTACAAATGCATTGTGAGCTTTCAAGAGATAGATAGTCAGACACCAACCTAAGCCAAAGGCTTCCCCTTTAACCAGCTTTCCCCAGAATCTTCAAGTCTGGGACACATAGATTTTTGCAATGCGTCTTTTCTATTCTAAGTGGCTCTGCAGAGACCCATTGCCACCTGGGGCTGTAAACAGAGTCCCAAGGTTATTCCGAAGGCAGATGCTTTACAGCACTTTATTGCAGGTTTCGCCCACCTCCGGTATTTCTACAAGTACCCTCCCTCTGCACCACAGGCGTATCACAGGGAGCTTCTGACCAGTTGTTAATATTGCTTTGTCCACCTGGAGTTCACATGGAATTAATATCCACACTTAGATATGTGCTGAAGTCAGGAATGGCAAAACTGCCTCCTAAAAATAACAGGGGGTCTCAGTGAAGATAAAGTTAAAAAAAAAAAAAAAAAAAGGAAATCTGATGACCACAGCAAGACAGTCAAAATTAAAAAAAGAGCAATGAAGGAAAGAAAGGAGGAAAGACGAACATAATATCCGTCAAAACTTGTTTTTGTTTTGTTTTGTTTTGTTTTGTTTAGTAACAAAGGGCTATGGATTCTCTAATGGGTGCGACATGGACAGCTATTTTGAGTCAGGGGCAAGTTAATTATATTCCAAAAAGACAGCGTCTCCAGAATTTATTATCATTTCTTTTTTTGCAGTGAGATCTTTTAGTTCCTTCATATAGAGACATAATATTACACAATGTTAACAACCATGAAAAAACAATACAAAATGCCCTCGATTTAACAAGTAGAAAAATATACCTAGTATATATGGCCATTGTGAATCTAATACTGTACAGAAGTCATTTATGGATCTTACAAATAAATTATAGCTTAAATGCCTTTTCAAACGTCTTCTCCCCACCCCCTAAGATGTACACACCAGAACTTACAGTATCGGAAAAGGTTCGGAGCCTAGCTTATTGCCAATCAGTGCCAGTCAAAGGTCCTGCCCACGAGCTCGAAGAACTTCTTGTTCGGCTCGTGGAAATACTCGTGCAGTTTATGGAGGAGTTTGGGGTCCACCTGGGGGTGCGCCCGGCCTTTGGACTCGTGCAAGCAGCGGTCCCGCCCGCCGTCCCGCAGGCAGTAGAAGCCCTTGGTCTTGTTGAAGTAGAAGTTTGAGGCGTTGATCTGAGGGGACAGCCTCAGGAACCGCTCCACCTTCTGGATCTCGGGGAAGGGGTCCCTGATGAGGCGGTCGCCGTCCACGATGTGGATGCGGTGCAGCGGGAAGAAGCGCAGCCAGTTGCGCAGGTGCACGTGGTAGAGGCTGCGGTTGAGCGCCTTGTAGTCCACGTTGAGCCGGCCGCCCCGCACCAGGACCTCCTCGATGGACGGGTAGGGCTTGCGCTTCTGCACGTGATTGTACAGCACCTGCGTGTAGTCCGACAGCACGCGCTCCGACGGGTCCCGCAGGATGAGCAGCAGCCGCAGGGCCGGGTTCATGCCGTGCACCCGCGCAGGCACTTTGGGCGACGTGAAGTACGCGGGGGTCTTCTCCACGGTGAGCTGGTGCGGGGCGGACAGGGGCATCTGGCTGAGGTACCAGCCCAGGCCCTGGCGGTAGTGCTCCTCCCAGTCGAAGAAGTGCACCTCGTTCTCGGCGGCCGCCACGTCGGGGTGCAGGCTGAGCATCTCCAGCAGCGCACGGGTGCCGCCCTTGCGCACGCCGATGATGATGGTGTGCGGGAGCTGCCTGGCAGAGCCGTTGGGGGCCACAGCGCCATCCGGGGGGGCCTGGTCCAGCAGGGTGGCTGCTTTCCACACCGGCTCCTGGGCTCCGGGGTCCGCCCAGGGCGCGCTGCCTGGGCGGGAAGGCACAAGCTGGAGCTGTGCCGCCAGCAGCGCCACGCCCAGCAGCAGCGTGGCCATGCCGGACACCGGACACCGCGGGGGCTTCGCTAGGCCGGGCGTCGCTGGGGCATGAAGCGCCGCTGCAGGAAAAGCCTCCTGGTCACGGACACATGGGCACAGCGGGCAGCAGATTACTAGGAAACAAAGAAGGGAAGATGTTAACCCCAAGTCCACGGGCATCATGGAGCAGACCACTCTGCAGCCTTGTGCAGGGCAGCCACCCTCTCTGAGGCTCTCAGGCTCCTGACCTGGGAAGAGGGGCCTGGGCCACATGTCTGTGTAGGACCAAGCAGGGATGGTTTAGGCTTAGGGGCATACAGTCTCCATGGCAACTCCAAGAATGCTGTTTTGCTTTAGAGCATGGACAATACACAAGGACAATACACAAAGGAATGGGTGTGGTTGTGTCCTAATACAACTTTAAATATTATTTTTTATTTTGTTTTCCAATAATGTATATACTTCGTTCTATGTTTGCAAGGGGGGATGGGGGGGGGCGGCTTGGCTCTGCAGCCATAGTTTGCCAAACTCGCTGTAAAGGAAAGGGTTGGAAAGGCCTTTCTGACTTCAACAAACACCTAGCCCCAGGCCCAAGAGGAGGTGATAGAGGAGCAGACATTGTTCCTGCTCCCTGCCCACCCCCACTTCCCTTCCACCAAGGGCTCCTGATCTAATAGGGCAGGTGAACCTGTTGAAAGATTGATCCTTTAGTTCCAATTCTTCACCCACTTCACCCCACCCCCCCATCCAGAGCTTGCTGTGGCCACATTGTAAGGGACTGCCTCACAATTTGGTTTGGTTTGGCCGATGGCCTGTGGTCAGTCCCCAGCCCAGGCAGTGAAAGGCCCCATGTGTCTCCACTTGCTCTCTCGCCGTGAGAAGGATGGGCCCTGGCAGCCCCTGCTCCCAGCAGGAAGAGGGGGGACAGGTGCAGCAGAGCCACCCTGGCTCACGGTGAGAATGCACTCTGGTGCTTGTCAGTCATTGAGTTTTGGGGTGGCTTGTACAGCAATGCCCACAGGGGAAAGGTTAACAGATGCAACCTGACTACAGGCATGGACACGATGTATGTTATGATTACACTCTAGGCAGGTCCCATGAGGGCATGTGGTCATTCATTTGGCCTGAAACAGTTGGGGAGGGCTTCACGGCAGAGGAAATGTTTGACATGGGGCTAGAGGGATAAACATGTGAGGTTACCAGAAAGAGCAAAAAGCCTTCCTGTGTGCTAAGCCTTACCATTTATAACAGCGATTCTCAACCTGTGGGTCGTGATCCCTTTGGGGGTTGAACGACCCTTTCACAGGGGTCGCCTAAGACATCCTGCATATCAGATATTTACGTTACGATTCATCACAACAGCAACATTACAGTTATGAAGTAGCAACTAAAATAACGTTATGTTTGGGGGTCACCACAACATGAGGAGCTGTATTAAAGGGTTGTGGCATTGGGAAGGTTGAGAACCACTGGGGTAGAGACAGGCTGGGATTGGGCACTGGGGTTTCCAGAGCCAGTAAGTGTTCTCCATCAGGAGGGCATCATCTTTAGACCAGGTTTAAAATTCACGTAGTTTAACTCTCTTTTTTATATTTTATTTTTTACAGAGAGGAAGGGAGAAGGATAGAGAGCTAGAAACATCGATGAGAGAGAAACATCGATCAGTTGCCTCCTACACACCCCCTACTAGGGATGTGCCTGCAACCAAGGTACATGCCCTTGACTGGAATCGAACCTGGGACCTTTCAGTCAGCAAGCCAACGCTCTATCCACTGAGCCAAACCGGTTTCGCCCATGTTGTTTAACTCTTGTCCAGAATGTGTAAACAGAGAACCATGCCTAGGGCTTCCATTTTAATGATCAAACCAGTTGAGCTATTTCCCTCAAATATCAACTGTTTGGGGAAAAATGTATATGAAAGAACAAGCAATTAAATAGCTGGAAACCTCTGGAGAATCCCAGGAAGCTGGAGAAGAGACTTGCAAGATTGGGTGGCATCACTGTTAGGGGAAGGGAAGGGAAATGTTTAAGGCTGACTGGTCAGACAAGAAGTGGTTCGAGATTGGCTTTACTGATTGGATAAGCTCAATTTAATGGGCCATTTGCTTTAATCAATGGAACATTTCAGTGTGTTTCAGGCAAATTTCATTTCCTTCTCAAGTGTTCCTGTGGGTCAACAGAATGGGCCGGCTGTGCTTGCCTTGTACATGGTTTTATGTGTGTGTGCAGATGTACATGTGTGTGCTTTTATAAATTTGTACCCGACTCCAGGCCTCAACCCTCTCCAACCCTGCTACGCCTGAGTGACAGAGTTGGAGGCCAGATCTGCAAGTCACATTGTCTGACCATCCTTCCCACTCTGTTAGGAGGTATCCTGGTTAGCACCGTGCACATCAGAGATCTTTCTCCTAAAGCACATGTGTCAAACACAAGGCCCGCGGGCCAAATCCATCCCGCCAGGCCTTGCAGTGTGGCCCGCACCGCGCTATCATCACTGCACTCCGCTGCGTTTCCATCACAATGACAGTTTATGACTGTTCAGTAAACCATTTGGCCCGCGATTTAGGCTGGATTTTAGATTTTGGCCCCTTCTCTGATTGAGTTCGACACCCCTATTCTAAAGGGAAATTACCAGCAGTCCCAGAGAGAAGAAATTAAATGTAGTTTGCCCTTTCAAAACAGAAATGAAAAATAAAAAATAAATAAACTGAGAAGTTAGTAGTTTACAAGCTCCTCGTATCTACTTTAAACTTTTTAAAAATGTATTTACTTATTGTAAGCCTTTCTTCTACATTCCAAAAATATTTAATATTCAAGCTATAAGGAAAGCAAAAGCTTAGCTACTAGTAAAGTCTTATACACACAGAGAAAGACAGAGAGGGAAACAAAGAGAGAAAAAAACAAACAAATGCACACACACACACACACACACACACATATATAAGTTATATATGGAGAGAGCTATGTGTATAGCATTTGCATGTGTGAAACTTTAGCCAATTAATATGTATACACATATACACTGAGTGTTCAGATTATTATGATCTCTGAATGCATAATAATCTGGCCATTCAGTGTATATCCTATATAATATAAGGCTGATATGCAAATTGTCCCCTAGACCAGGAGTTTGACTAGCAGGCAGGCCAGCCAACTGCCCATGTTCCCTCCCCCTGGCCAGGATGGCAGGACCCACCCATGCACAAATTCATGTACCAGGCCTCATATATGTATTAAATAAATATATACATGCACACACACACATACACACACACACACACACACACACACACACACACACACACACTCTGAATGGCCAGATTAATATGCATTCAAAGATCATAATAATCTGGTCACTCAGTGTATATCATGTGTATATGTATGCACACACACACACACACACACACACACATATATTTCTGTATATGTAAATTTATATATAAAAAATATATCACAAACACTGACCATCAAGAGCCACAGTCTTTCTGTAGTAGTCTGATAATTGTTCAGTGGCACAGACATAATTTCTGGGCCCCTTAATAACACTTGTAGAAAAGCAAAGATCCCCACACTCAGGTGAGCCTAAAAGCCAGAACATCTGAGCCGAATGGATCTTAACAGTGGGATTCTGAACATCAAGGCAAAAGAGAGCCATTGAGCCACTGCCTTCCATTTTGTGGGGGAGGAGGCCTTGAGTTGACTTGCCCACAGTCACATGGAGTATCCAGGCTTGAACTTGTGGCTCCTGAGTTACAGTTCTGTGTTCTATCTACTATAACTTCTTCCTCCTAAGTGTGGGGTCTTAACATTCACTAATGGCAATGGTTTTGGGATCCTAAACCAAAAGATCTCCAAAACTTATCCAGCAATGACAACCCTATGGCCACCAACTCCAGCATCAGTGAATACTCATAGGATGAAACACGTTCCCTAGTTCTATTCAGTAGGAGAGTCAAAGGACTTACACAGGTGGTGGGGTCAGGAGTCCTTCTCTAGGTTTGACCTGAGTCCAAGTGACTTAACCTTTCCTAGTCTCGGTCTCCTCATCCATAGAATAGTGATAATCTCACCATCTCCAGTGGTTACCTTTGGACTGTGTATCAGTGAGATGCCATGGATCAATAGCACCATACAAAGAAGTCCACTGTGGGCCACACATGCACTTTTTCCCTTCCCAAACAAATACTGACTAACATTTTTAACATTTTACCTAAGCATTGCCACAGGTGCCCATTTTTACGAATGCCTTCTCCCTTCCGTAATGCCAACCACAGCCTCCCCACAGCAGGCACACAGAATGTGAATTGTATAGATGAAAGTATACCACAGTTTTAGTTCATTCTCAGAAAAACTCAAATCTTCACTGGCAATCAAGAGATGAGAGTAGCCCTGACTGGTTTGGCTCAGTGGATAGATCGTCGGCCTGCGGACTCAAGGGTCCCAAGTTCGATTCCAGTCAAGGGCATGTACCTTGATTGCAGGCACATCCCCAGTGGGGGGTATGCAGGAGGCAGCTGATCGATGTTTCTCTTTCATCAATGTTTTTAACTCTCTATCCCTCTCCCTTCCTCTCTGTAAAACCATCAATAACATATATTAAAAAAAAAAAAAAAAAAAGATAAGAGTAACCCTTCCATGAGGTGACGATAACCACTATTCATTTATGTGTCCATGGTACTTAGTCAAATCTTGCCCTGGGTCAAATCATGTATTATTACCACTTTTATTATAAATACGGAAGTGACCCACATGTGCACTTTAAAATTTTCCAGGAGCCATGCTAAAAACAATGCAATAAAGTGCTGGCTCCTGGTCAGAGTCCAGGCCCCCTATTGTGTCCTTCCAAAGCCTGGATGAGTCCCAGGACCCAGTGGGTGCTGGAGTTCCTATTTGCTGATGGACACATCAAATGTAATGGAAAGTAAAGCACACGTCCAAAGGTCCTAAAGACTTTTCATTCAGTGTAAGGGAAACCCAATAGTTTGTCTCTAAAAATGACTGCATCCAAAGTGAGTTTTT